GCTTGCCTGGAAAGGGCTGGAAGGCCACTCCTACAAGCTTCACAGAGAGACGTTCCTTAGCTTGATGGCTTCCCCTTGCTCAAATTCCAGCCTTCCACCATGCCCTCTCAGATACCTGATTTGTCACCTCATCCACTCCAAGCGTCTGCCCAAATGCTCAGTGCTATTGTTATTACCTTGATTGCTGTCATTTATTGAGCATGTGCCATGTGCCAGACCTGTGATGGAACACTGATGCATTTCCTTACTTAAACCCCACACCAACTCCATTTTGCAGTGAGAACTAGGACTATCATAGGTACCAAAGAAGTACTTGAGTCTCCCTCTCCAGATTTGTTTTTCCCTGGAGTCAAAACTATTTGGGAAGGCAAGCCATAAAGCTAATCTGCTCATATTCAGGGGCAAATCATCATCGGGCGGAGGAGAGGGGTAAGCCCTGGGAGTGTCCCAGGACGAGCACATTCCATTCCCCACAGGCAGAATGGACTCTCCATCATCTCTCACCCAGAATGCTGCAACAGCCTTTTGACTGCCATGCATATACATGAAGATATCAATATATATTTCATTGTGGGTCCAATGAAGAATCTGAAACAGCAAACTGACATGATTTTATATTTATACACACACACATATATACACACTCAGGGTCTAAAATTAGAGGTCCCTGAGTGCCGCAAATGGTTTGTACTTTTCTACTAACCTGAAGATTGAAGGTTCAAATTCAGCCAGCAGCACCTTGGAAGAAAGGCCTGGTGAAAAATGAAAGTTAAAATTAAGTCCAAACTCCTTAACATGGTCTGCCAGGCTTCCATGAGTGGGCTCCAGCCTGCTCTTCCACTGTGGCTCCTCCTACTACACCTCAGCCAACCAATCATCTGCCAACTTCTTAAACAAACCATGCCCTCTCTTGCCTCATTCTTCACACGTCTCCCTCTCTGCATGGAACTTTCTTCCCCACCTCCCTTTCCACCTGGATAACTTACTTGTCTTTATGACTGCAGCTTATACCTCACTTCTTACAGAAAGCTTCTTTAATCCCTCCTAGTCTGGGTGAGAAGCTCCTCCCAGACATCCCCCACTGATAATCCACACATCTTTTATCAGAGTTTATCATACTGTATTGTAACTATCTGTTCACTTTTTAGTACCTACCACTGTGCATTTACCTAGCTTGTATTTATTAGGCAATTGGGCAAAGGGTAAGCACTTGGCTGCTAAATGAAAGGTCGGTGGTCTGAACCCACCAGCGGCTCTGCAAAAGAAAAGACCTGGTGATCTGCTCCCATAAAGATGACAGCCTAGGAAACCCAATGGGGCAATTCTACTCTGTCACATGGGGTCACTATGAGTTAGAATTGACTCGCTGGCACATAACAACAACAACATAGCCATGTCTTGGATGACAACATAAAATAACACATTTATAAAATTCATGGAGGACAAGAAGCAAGAGAGGATATTAAATAGATTGAATGTACACTTAGGGTCTAAAATCTTAACAGCATGGAACAATGAATCAAATTCAATAAGATAAAATTTACTATTAATACATGTAAGGTGCTAATATTGAGTAAAGCAGAAAAAACAATTGCATAAATAGATAGGGCTAAATAACAGCATGGGTGAGTGATTTGCAAGGTCTGAATTGAGTTTTGAGCCCTAGTTGCTCAGTGGTTAAAGTACTAGGCTGCTAACCAGAAGGTCAGCAGTTTGAACCCACCAGCCACTCTGAGGGAGAAAGATGTAGCAGTCTGCTTCTGTAAAGATTTACAGCCTTGAAAACTCAGTGGGGCAGTTCTGCTCTGTCCTATAGGGTTACTATGAGTTGGAATTGACTCAGCGGCAGTGGGTTTTGAGTTTGAATTAATTTAAATCCATTATTGGTAGGAATGACATCAGAATATATTTTTAAGGGTTTTGGCTGACCAGCGACTTAATATAAAGCAACATTAAGGTAAGCATATCCAAAACACTAATGATATCTTGGGCTAAAATAATAGAAATACACAATTTATTTTGAAAGAAATGACATTCTCATTGTTTTTTATTGGAAAAACTACAACCAGAGTAATGTACTTAATTCTGGGAAATACATTTCAAGAGAGAAACTGACAAAATGGAATATATTCCAGAACAGAGCAAAGGGTAAACGTTCCTGAAATCATTTCTTAATGAACAGTTGAGGAAATGGAGAATGATTTAGAGGAACTATGACAGCAGTCATGATATATCTAAAGAGGGCCAGATGGAAAGAGTAGAAGATATATTCTATGTTTATCAAGAAGTCAGAACCAGGATTCATGGGTAGACAAATCATAGAAAAGCCAACGTCAGTTCATTTTAAGAGAATTTTTCAAATAATTAAAGTTGCTTAAAAATGGGACAGTTTTCCCTGTCAGGTAGTGAGTTCCCTAGTCCCATGGAGGCTAGAATCCCAAGTACTAAAGCTTTCATGAAGATGTTCATGCAGTAGTTAGCAGGTATACCAGATGCTCCAGAAAGTACCTTTGAATTCTAAGACTCTGTGAGATTATAATGTCAGTATATTCCTTCCAGTGGTGCTGATGAATGAAAAATTGACTGAACCCATTTCTGAGGACTTAGGTTCTTAGAAATATTTTCTAAAAAAAACATTTTTAAAAGGCACTGTGTTAGCAGAGAAGGCCAGATGAGTTGATTACTGAGGTCTTTTTCAACTGTGATGTTTATGATTTTCACATTCTTTCATAGGCTGATTTAACACTGGGGATTGTGACCTCAATAAGGCCAGAGAACTTAGAAGAAAGGCAGCTTGGAAGAGAGAGGTCTAGAAAATTAAGCATATTCAGCCCACAGCATAATGGAAAGAAAGGGCCCTTCAGGGGGCCATGTGCTACAACAGGGCTCTGAGATGAGGTAAAAATAAAACTACAGCTTGTGTTTTCTGTTTGCTATAATGTTGCAGTCAGAATAATCCACTGAGCACCATGCCATGTGAAATGGCTCCATCCGAGTACATATCCAGAGAGCCACAAGGAAGCCTATGGCCCGACTATGTGCCAGACATAGAGCGACCCATTGATCCTTGTCTCATTTAATCTTATCGAAAGAAGTTCTCAAGGTATTAGTATTGTCATTTTAAAGATGAGAAAATTCAGATTTTGAGAGGCAAAATCACTTCCTAAGTAACTATGAGACCTGGATTCAAACTAAGATTGCCTGAATTTTGAGTTTATTGAGATTGTTTCAGGGGCTCTTAGAGTTTAGCTTTAGTTTTGTCTCTGAGGGCAAAAAGGTGCTAGGCATCCTGCACAGAATTCCTATGTAGAAGAAAAGGAATCATGGGAGATGCCCCAGCACGGATACAGGCTCAGGAGCTGTATTCTCCACGAACATACTGTTTTCAGCCGTAAGAGCAAACCCTGCAGCAGACAGGATCTGGGAACAGGAGGGGAGGCAAGGGGCCAGTGTAACCCCATCTCAGCCTTCCATTCCCAATGCCCTGTTAGAACTCCAAATACACACACACAAATCAGTTTCTAGACTAGATTTTCTAAAATACAGTGTAGCCGAATAATTAAGAGTTACCTTCACCTTTAGTGATCTCAGATATGCTCTATGAGAGTCTGTAAAATAAATGTTAGTGTCCACATTTCATGAACGAGGAAATGAGTTTAAGTAATTCATGCAAAGTTATAACAACCTGCTGCCATCGAGTCAATTCCAACTCATAGCAATCCTATAGGACAGAGAAGAATTGCCCCCTAGGGTTTACAAGGCTATAATCTTTAGGTAAACCAACTGCCACATCTTTCTCCCACGGAGCGGCTGGTGGGTTCGAACCTCCAACCTGTTGGTTGGTTAGCAGCCGAGCACTAATCACTGTACCACCAGGGCTTCTTATGTATAACTGACATTCACACTCTTGATTCCAAAAATTAGAAGGAAAAAATGTGGATTTTGGAGTTAAGCAAATCAGGGCATGACTTGTAGATTGATCATTTAGTAGCTAGGGAAATAGGCTTTAGTTTCTGTATCTGTAAAATGGTAACAGAACTGTTAGCATCCTTTCTCCAAACCTGTCCCCTCACTTCCTGCCTTTGAATGACCAAAAAAGGAGTTGTTTGAACCTTCCTTAGTTAAGAAGATAATTTTGGATTAATACCCAACTTTGTCCTTAAAACATCCCTTTGAGGTTTTGTTAGATTTGATTCTTCCCTTTTAAAAGGTAAGAAAACTGGAGTCGCGATTTCCTGACATATCCCAAGCTAGTCACACAGTGAAGCGGTGGTCACAATGGAAGTATCAGACCTAAAGTAAATCAGCATGAGCCTGAAAACCTGGAGACATGAACTCTGGTCCTAGCTTTTCTGTGTCTAGATCTATAAGATACCGCCATTGTTGTTGTGAGCTTCCATCAAGTCAGCCACCGACTAATTGTGACCCCATGCACAACAGAACAAGATGCTACGCAGTGCTGTGCCATCCTCATGATCAGTTGCAGATTGGATCGTTGTGATCCACAGGGTTTTCACCAGCTGATTTTCAGATCACAAGACCTTTCTTCCTAGACCATCTTAGTCTGGAAGCTCTGCTGAAACCTGTTCTGCATCATAGCAGAACAAAGCACCACTGACAGATGCGTGGTGGCAGCACATGAGATGGATTGGCCAGAAATCGAACTTGGGTCTCGTGTATGGAAGGCAAGAAGTCTACCGCCAAACTGCCAATGTTCTCAATCTATAAGATAGGCATTGTAAATACTCCTTCATCTATACCCAAGTGAGTGCCCTCTGGTCTAAAATGACATCATAGGTGGTAAAAGTCTAAGACTCCTCTTCAAAAGCAGTAATGTCACATAAGACTAACTCACTCACAAGTTGGCTGATCCATGTATAGAGTTTTATTCAACAGACTTTCCTGCCAAGTTTCTTCATGAAAAATAATCTTGTTTTCTGAATTTGTGTTTAAACCAAACTTACTTAACAGCCCCCCTCTATTGTTTTCTTTGTGCATAGACTATCTGAATGTCATGAATGTTCACCTGTTCAAGGAGAGATGGGACAGCAACAAGGTGGACCACCATACTGACAAGTATGACAACAACAAGTTGATTGTACGTCGAGGACAGTCTTTCCACATCCAGATAGACTTCAATCGTCCATATAACCCCAACAGGGATCTCTTCAGAGTGGAGTATGTCATTGGTGAGTACCACATGCAAACCTGAGTCATGGTACCACGGATTGCATAGCAGAGAAGGGTGGGTACAGGTGCATTGCATGATTTATTGGAATTATAGATTAACATTTGGCTGGAGCTGGGATTACTTCCAGTGCCTGGACCACTCTATGCTCTAAGCTGGGTCTGTTTAATGCCAAAACATCAATCATTTGGGCCTACCCAGGCAAAAATCCAGTATAAATAAAAGTGAGTACAATTGGTACAAAATGTCATGTAAGTTATTTTTCTCCAAACTAATGGTTTTAGCATCATATAGTTGTGACCTTTGATTTATCGTCTCTGCCTCATGATTTAATTGGTCTCATGTGATGAAAATATTTGCACATTATAGCATGCTATCTCCATATGAGCATTTCCCAAAGTTTGTTCTGCTCTAATCTAGTCCCATGGGATGCTCCACAAAAATAGGTTGTCAAATAAAGTTCAGTAAATAATTTGTACTCTATCCTCCTCTTGAAGATTCACAACGTATGTTAGATTTAAAAATTCTAGGAAGTACCATTATTTAACTTTGCTTAGTCCAGTGCTTCTCAAATTCATGTGATCATGGAATCCTTTTATTCAGGTATAGTGATTAATATTTAACACATTTTGGTAAACATCTTTCTAGGAATTTACAAAAGTTGCAATTAAACACATGCACAAAAAAGCAAAAGATGTTCAATATCAGGAAGTCTGACCATATAATCCTATACATAAACAAGTGAAGGGAGAAAAATCAGACAATCAACTTAATAGTCACTGAAAAGGTGCATGATAAAATTCAAGAGTCATTTTAGAAAAACAAAAGTGGAAGAAAACTACTCAATTATAATAAAGATGATTTACCCCAAACTAACAGCTTTTGGTATCCTAAACAGCAAAAAATTCATCATTTTAATAAAAATCAGAAATTAGACAGGGATGCCTGCTATCATCATTCCTTTTTTTTTTTTTTAAGTATTGCTTTTAACAAAGGAACAATATAAGAGAAATAACTACGATAAACACTGGAAAATAGGAGGTAAAACTATTTATTTTGCTATGATATAGATTAAGGGAAAAAAGCACTACTAGTATGTCTTAGCTACCTAGTGCTGCTATAACAGAAATACCACAAATGGGTGGCTTTACCAAACAGAATTTTATTTTCTCACAATTCAGAAGACTGGAAGTCTGAATTTAGGGTGCCAGGTTTAGGGGAAGGCTTTCTCTCTCTGTTGGTTCTGGAGGAAGGTCTTTGTTTCTTTTGAGCTTCTATCCCTTAGCTCCTTGGTGATCTTCATGTGGCTTGGCGTCTGTCTTCCTCTATCTCTACTTTCTCTATTGCTTGTTTAACCTCTTTTATATCTCAAAAGATATTGACTTAAGACATAGCTTACACTAACACTGCCTCATCAACCTAACAAAGAAAACTCATTCCCAAATGGGATCTTAACCACAAGCATAACCCAAACCCATTGCTGCGAGTCAATTCCTACTCATAGCAACCCTATAGGACAGAGTAGAATTGCCCCATAGGGTTCTCAAGGCTGTAATCTTTACGGAAACAGACTGCCCCATCTTTCTCCATGAAGCAGCTGGTGAGTTTGAACCATCACGCCTCAGTTAGCAGCTTAACCACTGCACCACCAGGGCTGTATAGAGGTTAGATTTATAACACATATTTTCGGGGGACACGATTCAATCTATAACACAGTATTAACAAAAAGTATTGTAAAATGGCTAGATAGAAGATAAATATATAGAAATTGATGGTTTTTTCTTTTCTTGCCTAAATTAAAAATGAACATAAAACAATTTCACATATAATAGTAACCAAAACTATAAATCATGTAAGATTGAAGTTAAAAAAACAAGACACAGAACCTATATAAATCAGATAAAATCTGAATAAAAGACATGAAAAACCAATGAAAACGTAGTGTTCTTTTGGATGTGACGTCTCAAAATATTAATAAAAAAAATTATCTCCCAAAGTTAATGTGTATATTTAACATATTACCTATTAGGATCCCCATGGAATTTTTCTTTTTTTCTAAAGCAGGGTATAAGCTTGGATAAAATAGTCATAAAGTTCATTTTAAAGAATAAACGCCTGACAATAGCCAAGAAGACTATACAAAGGAATAATAAGAGATAGAAGATTTTCTATCAAAACAAGCTATCAGAATAAAGTATAAAATATATACAGTAGGAAGAGAATATAGAGGTTAGAAATAGATCTCAGTATATAAAATGAATTAATATAGTTGTTTATTTAGAGGAGTAAGAAAAGTATGAGGTTTTCGTTTGTTTTTTAACAAATGATGCTGGAACAACTGACTCTCCAACTGAAAGAAAATAAAAAGTTGATCCTCATCCTATATGATACGCAATACTAAATTTCAGATGGAATAAATAGTAATGTAGACAATAAAACTCTACAAGGCAATTTTGTAAGAACATTTAACCTAAGACTGGAAATTCTGAAATTGTCAAAGAAAAGAAAAACTCTATGAGTGTGTATGTGTCTATACTTGTAATAACATATTTTTACACAAATAACGTGCACTTCTACGTTTGTGTGCCAACAGCGTCCTCTCACTGTGAGGTATTTTCGTAAGTACCATTATGCCAATTTTCTTTTACAAGTTACTGTGAAAAAATTAACATAGTGCTCTTACGAAAATACCTCATGGGGGGAAGGTGCAGTTGGCAAACAAACGTAGAAGGCACACATTATTTTCGTAAGAGTGCAGTATATATGCCAAAGTACCAGAAGTGACCAAAATATAAATATGTAATTCAAAATACCATAAAGTCTATAGACAAAACATAAATCTGAAAAACTATTCAAAATGTCAATAACAGATAAAATGTCAACATAGAAAGCAAAAGGAAAAAATTCTGTTACTAATTGATAATGCAAACAATAGGAAGTATGCAAAGGCTATGAAGAGAAGAGTCACAAAAGAGAAAAACAAATGGTCAGTAATCATATGACAATAAACTTCAATTCATTTGCAGACCAGGGAAGCAAAGTACACCCAGTCCTCACTTACCAACATGGTTAGGTTCCAAAGACCAGGTCATTATGTGAAAATTGATGTTATGCAAAAATGGAAGATGACCGGGGACATGAGGCTGCAGGGTGTCCTCTTGTACTCTTCCAAGTGCCTTGGGGCTAGCAAGTGATGCTCCCACCATGGCAAGTCCACTCCAACACCCACCTCCTTTTTGCCCTTGTTCCCCTCCTCCTCTCCCCTTTCTCCCTACTCCTCCCCTACCACCTCTCCCTCCTTCCATCTACTTCCTCAATCTCCTCCTCCCTCTGCTCTCCAGCTCACTAGGTTGGTAGCTAGTTGGAGTGTGGGGGCTGGTGCCAGAGCATAGCTCTGTGGAGCTGGGTGGTCGCCCACACTGAAGAGACCCAAGCACAGCAGGCACAGGCTCAGAGAAGGAATGTATGGGAGCACTGAGTGAGGGGACAGGGACCATTCCTGCATGGCCACCTTATACCCAGATAAGCAGCCGGATCTGCTGGCTCACCTCTGCCACTCTGTGCTGCCCGGAGCTGAGAGCCGCTGTGAGCCACCAGGAGCTGGGCAGCTGCGCTCGCCACTGGGAGGTGAGTCACAGGAGCCCAAGGCATCTCCCCTGCACAGGTTGGGGCTGGCACGAGAGGAGGTCCATGGGGGGATGACACCATGAGTTACTGTAGTAGGCGACATCAACCGCAGTGAGTCCACTGCAGCCAGCGTTACTCTCTTCTCGCACCTTAGCATTCATTACTGCCAGACATACATTGTTAATACGCAAAATAGTTGGATACTAAATTTTTTACTATACCCTCTCTTCACTTATCGATACAGTTAGGTTACAAAGACCAGGTTGTTATGCAAAATCAGTGTTATGTGAAAATGGAAGATGACCACATCAGGTCATAAAATGGAGGATGACTACGTCATTACATAACTGCCAAATTACATCACTACATAACTGCCAAACCACTGAGAATCATGGTCCACCCAAGTTGACACATAACCGTAACCATCACAGCCAGCATTACTCTTGCCTCACAGCTGGGCATCCGTTACTGCAAGACATACATTGTTAATGTGCAAAATAGTCAGAAAGTAGGTTTTTTACTATTTCATAAATATAAAATGTCAGATAAGATAGTTGATAAGTGAAGAGAAAGTATATTGTCGTAAATACAAAATGTCAGATAACAAAATAGTTGATAAGTGAGGAGCAAGTTTAACATCTATCAGACTAACAAAAATTTGAAAAAGACTACAATATCTGTTCCTAGATGGTATGTGGAAAAAGCATACCCTTATACAGTGCTGATAGAAAAGTGCAATTTTTTATAACTTTTTTGAAAAACAATATGGCAATATCTACTAATATTAAAAATATATATACCCTTTGACCCAGAAATTCCACTCTTAGGAATTTATACCAAAGATATTAAAAATCTGGTTTGTAAAGCTATTATGTACTGCAACATTGTGTATTTAAAAAAAAAAAAAGTCACGTTCGAGTCAATTCCAACTCATAGCAACCCTGTAGGACAGAGTAGAACTGCCCCATAGGGTTTCCAGGGAGTGCCTGGTGGATTCGAACTGCCAACCTTTTGGTTAGTAGTGGTAGCTCTTAACCACTACACCAGCAGAGTTTCCACACTGTGTATAGTGGGGGGAAAAAAATTAAAAAATAAAAATGAAACAAACATCTCTCAATAGTGAAATGGTTGAATATATTGTAGTATATTCCCATAATGTATTATTATTTAAAAAAATGAATTAAACCTATGCCAGATGACTTCAAGAAAGGTAGTGAGTGAAAAAAGAGAATACAGAAAAAAGTTCATATGGCCTTCCATATGTATGTGTGTAACTGTATATGTACATAGATCTGTGTAATATTCTGAGTACTAAAAAGAATATGAAGGACACACATAGGTATTGATATGAGTTTCTTAATGAGAGTGTGGCCA